CTTTACTTTCAAGGCTGTTTATGGCCTAAACCCACTCTATTTATTATTTTCGTTCAATAAGGCAAGGTCAGTTCCTGCCTCTGCTCAATCACAATGTTTCATTGTGACTTTCATTGTTAGATCGCCTAACAAGCACCTTTGTGCTTTTTCCTATGCTGCCTCTCACCTGTAGGAAGAACTCACAAAACTACTTCAGTATCCTCCTTCAAAACCCTATTTAAAATGATTCTTTGTCATGATCCCTACTAAGAAAGCTTGACAACACTTAGGCCACTGGTGTCCTGAAGCCCTTGTCCAAATGCTAATCAGTATTCTATTATTGTTTTCTTGCACTTTCTTGTCTATCTAAAGCAGGGATGTCAGAAACTGGGCTCACAGAGGCGTTTCACCAGTGTAACTCTAGAGCAGCTAGGAGTTTTGGGATGAGGCCCATTGCTACATTTCCAGCTACAGAGCCCCATTGGCAATGCATATCAGTGGTGAAGTGAGCAACATCTGCGTTAACTCCCACACCACTGATGCTGCCAGGTTTGGACCCAGTGATCTAAAACTATCACTTCTCTTGTCTTATACATAGCTTGTAAACTCTTCAGAACAGAAACCATTTGGGTGTTTTATATTTGTACAAGGGGTAGCAAAATGGAGTCCTGGTCCATGACTTGGGGGGGGGGGGGTCCTATGTCTATAGTAATGTGAAGAAGAAGAAGAGTACAAGCTATCTGTGGAAAAGATTGGAAAAATAAATATACTTTCAGTATATGAGTATGCCTAATACATTAACAGGAGGCTCTGTGCATGCATGTGTGTGCGCGCGTGCCTGCGTGCAATGTGGTGCATGAAAACATGTAGGATATCTATGGTAACAGAAAGTCAATTCAGATTTTCCTTTTCATCATCAGAAGCGGCTTGATGCCTATCTGACTGGGGTCATTTGAGCCCAGTTTTCCTCCTGCCCAGGCAGGGGGTCGGACTTGAAGATCTACAAGGTCCCTTCTGACCCTACTTCTATGATTCTATGACCTGTTTAAGAAGACTGAGCATAGATGGATTTGAGCACCCTCCCAAATTGCCCAGGAGTTTTTATTTTTCCTTAAAAGCACGTAGCGATCACACAATGTACTACACTATTTTAACTCTCCATCTTCCCTTCATCAAATGAACAGACCTCCCTAAAGTCACCTAAAAGGAATTTGCATTCTAAATGGGATTTCTGATGTAACTGCACTGCCTGAATTATTTTATGAAGTAACAAAATAATGGATCAAATTCAGCCCCAGCATATGTAGGTGTAACTCCCCTTCTTATCCACGTGGGACCAAGAATGATCAGGTATTTTGTTCCCAGACCAAAGAAGTGGAGTTGGATTCTTGGGAATAGACATTTAATACCACACACAGCTCAGGGCAAAAGGAACAAAAAGCTCTTTGAACTACACCTATTTGTATTTTTAGGGACACATCTGGCTCAAATGTTAGTTCCCACATGATCATTGTTGCAAAACATTTCTGGCTGTTTTATTTACATTGACAATCAACCACCTACACCCACTGGCAGTGTTTTTTGGTAGCACTGGCATAGTTGTGAATTTTCTCAATACTAAACAGATTAAACAATCCATTAAAAATGATGACCTTTTCAAGCTCATTCTAAATCAAGCAAATTGGCCTTTACCACATCATCCCCTGGCCTTTAGCCTGAAAAATCCATATAAGGTGTACAGCTGGCAACGCAAGGGCTGTTGTGCCCAGGGCAAATGTGAACGAATGCAATGCCTGGGTATCAGAAAGTTTAATTAAAGTGCTAGGGTTAGCTTCTGCAGACAGGGGGAAAGTGAGCCTTTGCCATTTAAGTGCTTGCTTTGGTGGAAAACAAAGACAGAGAGCCTGACAGTTTTCAAGGAGACATGAACCTGTGCATTATTCTTAGTGAGCACTAGGTAACTTAGTCACATGCTCCTGTCTTTGGCTTTGCTTGTTACTCATGTAATTGCATATTTCTTCAATCAATAAAGTATCTATTATAAAGCACCCATGCCAGCATCTGGGTTAAATGACCCACATGAAAACTAACCAATATTCTTTCTCCTTCAAAGAAAGCTTTGTAGTGGGCCACAGACTATTTCAGGCAAAGATGGGGACTACAGAATTTGAGTGCAGAGCACAGAGCCCATTTTGCCAGCCACGCTCTCTGATTTGTACTGAAGCAGCTCTGGCTTCAGTGTGCCTCTTGATTGCAAAAGTGGCTGGGTGGCACAGGAAGAAAGTCTCTCAGGTTGATAACAAGTTTTGTAAGTTAAAAATAACATGACAAGGCCTACTCAGAAATTCACAGACAGACAAACCAGGTCAGAGGGTAATGGTGTTATGCCCTGGTAAGCAAGAGACACTTCTTAAGGAGCATGGTGTTCCTTTCTCCATTTATTCAGTTTTCCAGGGGGAGGTTCAGATAGAATGCATTGCACTAACCTTCAAGTGACAAATGGATGGATCATGGTAGCAAGAGCCATATCTGGATTAAATGACTACAGCCACCTGAAATGAATGAAAGCACTCCTTCTCAGCACTTCTATGCAGTCACTTAACAGCATCTGGGAACGCAAGCAAGGCTCTATTTAGGAGCTCTAGTTAAAATGAACAGGCATACCTTCAATAAAAGGGGCAAATATAACTCTTGCCATAATTTCTGGCTGCTTCCTCCAGTCTTCTATCCTCTCTTCAATTTGGATTGAGTTAAAACCACCAAGCCCTGATCTTCATTCCAGTAAAGCCTTCAATAGAATTTGCTGCCTTGGACACTTGAGAGGCATACAACTACTGCTTACCAGCTGGCTGGTGGCACACCTCAGGACATGCTTCCTCACAAAGCCTCCCAGCAGACTATTACAGATGATAAACAGGAGGAGAAACAAAATGCAACTCTGCAGAATCCCACAGGAGTGTCCTTAGAGAGGATGAGCAATTGCCTCAACTCACCCTGTGGGAATGCTCATCAAGGAAGAAATGGGACCATGTGAGAGCCACCCTAGCCACTCCTGGCAGGTAAGCCATGAACACCTCATGATCAATAATACTGAGGATAGCTGCTAGGAAGGAGTGATGTAATGGCAATTTCTCTCCTTATGCAGAATCAGTTTCTCCCTGTGTTTTATGTCCAGATCATCTCCTTTTACTTTGAGAAGCAGGAGGCAGATGCCCATCCTTTGGCAACATTAAACCCTCTGTACTGTTCTTACTTGTTGTTTGAAATAAGCTGAGCAGTGTTTCGGATGCATGTGCCGCTGTGCTATTATAGTATTTATACTTTCAAACGTAATGACAACAACTGATATAAAGTGTGTGATGTGATGGTGTAGTAACTTCAAGACCACCCCTAGCAGCTTGAGTCAGCATCAATTTATGTTTGGAAGTCACTGGAGGGGAAAAACAAACATTTGGAACAATTCTCTTCATACTGATTTCGTAACATCGGCTTAAAAAGATGTTAAGATACCAATTGATTTTATTTCTTCTTACAAAACTGGATTGTTTCAACTTTTCCATTCCTGAAGAAAAATTTTCCATTGCATGACTTTTAATAAAGACAAACTGCCATGCTAGATCAAAACATTGGTCCAATAAGTCTTGTATCCTGCCCCTCTGTACCATTTCAAAGATAAAACATATCCCTTATAACCTAGCCAGTTGCACTTTATTGCATGGAGGTGAAAAAAGTTCTTCCTTTCTTATGGTGCAATCATATTATGCTCTTATGCTTGAGATGCAATTAACCTTATTTTATCAAGCACAATTACAAAGGTTATTCTTGGTCAAAAAATTAAGCAAATTAAGCAAAAATTAGCTATTTTTATAGTTACCCATGGCATGTGACTCAGACCTCCTGGAGCAGTGAATTCCTTTTCAGCTTTCATTTTGGCTGTGGTATGACTATTCAGTATGTGTGAATATGCGTATGTGTATGTGTGAATATGTGTGAATATGTAGAGCATTCTTTCTTTCCCCAGCCGGTAGGGGCAGACAATGGTGTAGATGTCACACTTCCTGGCCTGTTGTGTTTTTCTATAGTAATCCCCTTGGTTGCTGGATAAAGCAGCATTTTGTAGTTTGGAAAGAGCTGTATCCAGTTTTTCATTCTACCATAGGAAAAGACAGATGTGCTTCTGAAGAATTGTAAAGGATGGGGTCACAATGGACCACCAGAAGGGATATATGTATATTCAGACCCTTCCTTCAGAGGCTTTACAGCATAGCAACCTTTCTCTGTGGTAGAATATAGGGAGTATGTGTGCATGCAACACACACACACACAGACGTATATACAAAATATAGTATGGAAGAAGCTTGTTATTAAAACAAAGGTTTTAATGAAAAAACTGAAATGCCAGAAGGACTAAAAAAGGCATTGTGAAAACAAAGTCAATGAATACAATGTTCTGTTAGATAAGGCAGACATTTGAATGGGAACGTGGTCATAAAAGTAGAGGTCAGTGTTGCTAATGAAAGGTCATTTTTAAAATTTAGTTTCCCCCCAAATATTTGCATATATCAAAATAAATTGCAAGTTGTTTGTAATAATTCTGTAATCAATTTAATAGCAAGAAGCCAGGAACTGAAATCTATGTTCTATCTTTTCTGGTGGAGCTTAAAATGTTGTTGCAGGAAATCATTTGACTACTCTCAATTTAGTTTGATAGAACAAAAAACCCTAAGCAATAAAATCAGGGTCCAAGAAAAACATTTATCTTGAAAAAAGATTGAAAAATGTAGCCTTGGAAAGACCACTGCTTACATGGGATTGTTCAACAAATTCCTGTTGTGTGAGGTTTGGCATATACTTTCTAAAAATATAAGCATCTGGGGAAACCAGACAAAGCCCAGGTCTTGGACCAAACGAGGCATGCAGTGTGAATCTGCTAGTGATTATATCCATAATGAAATATGTGCCCAAATTTAGCAGTACAAAACCCCAATACAATATGAAAACACAGCATGTACAGTCCTTACCATAAAATATAGCCAATGGAGAAGGTGCACACTGCAGCCAGTCCACTGCTCCTGCTGGGATACCGATGATGTGCTGTTCTCATCTCGATTAATACAAAGGGCAAAACTGTTGTATGCTAAAAAAACAAAACAACAGGAAAAAGGCAGGTGATACAAATGATTCTCACTGCATTTCAGCACTTGTTCTACAACAGAAAACCTAACAGGAAAGATTTCTGGCAAGAAAATTAAATTTAGAGATAATCTCTTTGTGGGTATGAGAAGAAGCAAAACTGTGAGCTTAGAAAGCAGATCAATAACCCCTTCTTAAATCTGTCTCTTTGATAGTTAATTGCTGAGGGCAGAGTTGGAAGAAGCAGAGAGAACATACATTTTATTTTGCCTTCAAACTGCATGGACGGATTATTTTGAAATTAAGGGTCAGAACCCAGAATTATGGGACCTGGGTTTTGCTTCTGGTATTGCACAGTTGTTATGTGTGACCATTGCATTGTTAGGTTTTTAGGACCTGAATTTCAGAGGTTGTGAGCAGCAGCAGAGCTGCATGGGATTAGCATTTTTGAAAATTAGCCTTAAGCATGTCTCAGTTTGAGGAAATGTCAACCCAAGTATCTGTTTTTCAGTCACACCACCTGAGAAATGGGAACAATATCCTCCTTGCAGATGTATCGTAAGTCTCCATTTGTTAATCTTTGGAAGAAAAGATGTTTTTAGATCCTCAAGTGAAGGGCACTATGACCACTGCTCTAAGAACATCTATGAGTCACCTGCCTTTATTTAGAGGGGGAAAAAAATCCTTATTTTTTTCATGTCTCCTTGAGTTGCACCTTTTAAAAAGGTCTCCTCATCCAGTTAACATCAGAGTGAAAAAGTGCATTCCTTTGCCTTTCCACCAAACCTCCTGTCTAAGTGTCCACACAAGTCCACCAGCCCATTGGCCAGTGTAGTCAAGGCATAGCAGTTTTAGTGACCAACAGTACACAAGGGAAGCGTGAGGCTAGCATCATGTCAGGCCATTTTGACTCCATAGTCCGAACTCATTTACAGTTGGGCTAATTTGGGGGCAGCCTCTGGGTCCTGAGCAGATCAGATTTTAAATTCATGCTTTGAACTGTAGAAAAATGCTTTAACATATATTGCAGGGCAGATCTGGGGGCAAGTTATCAACTTGTGTGACACCCTTGACTTTAATGGAGTTTATATCAGCTGAGGATTTGTCCCTTGCCAAGAATCTGCACATGAATCTCCCACTGAGCTCAGTGAAAGGTTGCAAAGTGAAAAGATTTCAGGGGCAGTCTACATCAGAAACCAGTTTCTATCTTTTCTCACTAGTGGCTCAGCAATTGGGTAAGTATGCTATTGTCTATGTACACATTCTGCCATTGGATATTTATATGCAGCTTTTGTTGGTTGACCTCCATGGAAGAGGCAGATTGAATGCTGAATTTGAAATTTAATAGTCACAAAGTAAACTCAATCTTAACCCTAGGTTTAAAGTAGGAAGGACACATCTTAGAAATATCTTTTGGGGAAACAGACCTAATTGAGATAAAATAGAACAGTGCTTTGGAGCCCTGCTCTTTAACAACAGTGAAAAAAGGGAATGATTTGGATGGGGAATGCTAAACTCATGAAAAAATTCTCCTTCTCACAGATGTAACATAATCTGAATTGGATAACTGTACTTATTTTCAATACATTAGTAATTAATGACTGGCATTTAGAGAATGTCAGGTGGATAATACAGCAGTTAGGAGAGCTTTCAATTTCTTCATCTTTTTAACAGCTTGTTCCGCCCCCATCCCTTTAAACAGCATAAATCACCATCAAGGGAATGCATGTATGTTTTACATGTGGTTTGTTATAGTGGCGCCCACTAGTAGTTGAAAGGTCTATTAAATGAGCAATATCTTCAGAGTCCATTAACAGAGGTTGGCAGCAAACCAACCCCTGGAGATTCACTTGGAGGTTTTGGATCTGCTATGAAACATCATTAGAACTAGGTGCTGATCCCTTGCTATGTGCCTCTGCTAAACTAGTATGGTTAGAGCTATGTGAACACCAAGTGCCCAGGCTGACTAGCATGCTTAGGAAGCACAAATCAGCAGACACATTTGGTTCAAAAAACACCTTGATATTGTGCAGGTTACATGTTCTATGTGATCTGTTCACCCAGTCTTAATTATACATGATACACCTGATTGAAATAGAGTTTATAAACTGTTTTTTTCCACTGACATCTGCAAGACTAAGTACACAGTCAAAAAGCTTGAGACTTAATCCATTTAGTCTTCACAGGTTAATCTAAACTGCATAGATTGAACTGATAAGCAAGTGAACAGACATTTAATTTTGATTCTAGAAATGCAGCCATGTGTCTGCAGTGGCCCAGGCCAGAAGCTGGGATTGCTAGAGCATGCCTCCCTGCTTGGCTGGACCAGACAGCTTGGACCATGGCTAGCCCACCCACCCTGAAAGGGAGAGTTTGCAGGGAGGTGCAAAGCATCATGGGATGCTGGGGTAATGTGAGTTAACTTGAATCTGGAGAGGATCTGGGAAAGAAATTCAATAAACTGACTGAACCTAAATCAGTTAAGTCTGATACTACATCCATCCAGGCTTATCTTAAATTGGTTTCAGGCATTTTGAAAACAGTTTATTTGCACTGAACTTCTGTTGTGTTACAGATTTGACTGGTTTCCATTCACTTACACCAGTTCATGTGTAATTTCTGTTCCTAATTGAGACTATATGCAAGTTGTCAATATGACAATGTTTAAACATGGCAATCCATTAACTTGTCAATTAACAAAAAACAATGATAATTAACATTTCAGTTACTGTACAACACTACAGTTCCCTGACCAATTTTTATAGCTGTGCATTTTTTCATAGGGTTTTTTTAAAATGATCTCCTCTGCAGTTTTTTGAAAGACTAACAAAACAAAAAAGAAACTAGCTGATACCTGTGAAGTGCAGGGGGGCTGGACCTGATTATCTGTAAGGTCCCTTCCAGCCCCTAACAAATAAGCTATGTACAAAATGGTACCAAAGCACAGTGTAATCAAAATTAAACACAAACCTCACAGAAATCTATTTCTAGGTCTATCCTTAATCCTTATACATTATGGAAAACTTAAGTTTGATTTGCAACACTAGTAATGTGTTGCATTATTAGCTGAAAGTGTGCTTTTTAAGTCAAAAGTGCCCTATTACATGATTAAAATGCAAAAATACTTATGCTAAAAAATTGCAATCTCCCTATTCCAAACATTGTAATAGGCTTAATTTTAAATTATGACATCTTGTAAACAGACATGTTTCTGTTTAATTATGCCAAGCAGCAATAGGGTTAATATTCAGTCTGTATACTGGATCTGATTCAGACTGGAACTTTGATCAAGTTTGGATCTGATCTGATAATGGCAAGCAGGATTCAAAGGTCTTGGTGTCAGACCTATCCGGACTAAGGAAGCTGTGAAAAGTCAGTACGTTTGTACCCTCAGCTCTCCAAATACATCTAAGGTCATTTTGTGATTGGCTGTTCAGAGGGGAAACTGCCTCACTCACTGTCCTTGACATAATTTGCTAAAAATCATTAAAAATTAGCTGGTGAAAGCTGCCTGATTTGACATTTCTGGGACCAAAATCCTTTACTTATTCACAAAATAGATGCAAGAGTAAGAACAGAAGCACAAAATTTCTTACCCTAGTTGCCACGTGTCTCCCTAAGCTTTCTTTTAAAGGGAACAAAGGGTGAGAAGGTTCAGGTAATAGGAAGCTTCAAATACTAAGGTGCAAGTTTTTAATAGTGAGGGTAAATAATTATGGAAGCAACTTACTGGGGGAACTGATAGATTCTTCATCACCCTCCATGAACCAAGAGGCCATCTGTGCCAAGAGGGTTTTGTAACTTACAGGAATGCTGCTATATTGTACTGAGGAAACACTTTTAGTACAGATAAAATGTGTATGAGCAAAGCTATGTTTTACCAATATAGCTCATTCCACCCACACTACAACTACCGATACCAGTAAAAGTACAGTTTTATATACACAGGAGAATCTATGTTAGGGGCTTCTACCAGCACAGCTATGACACTGAAAGAATCATACCTCTTCAGACCTTTAACTAGTACAGCTACAATGACCAGTCAGTAATGTAGACTTGAGCCTACATATCTGAATCTCCCAATGTGCCTGAAAGATAACCAATGTTGCCTTTATTCAAATCAGTCCTTAAAAACACAGTTCTACCAAGGCTACCTCCTAAGCTAGAAGCACTGTGAAATGCATGCATTAAGAAGAAAATAACAACTGCTCTGGTCATTAACACCTATCTGTGCCTCTATCATTTTTGCTGTGCTTCTAGTCTGTAACCTAGTGGACACCATGTCTCTCGCTTTTTTCTGTGGCTCCCAGCACCTTGTTGTCACTTAAATAATAAGCAACTGAACAAGCTAGCAAAACAAATTCAATATAATATCGCGTTTTTGGGATGTTAAGTTAAAATGATCAAGTTGTGAACTAAGACTTTATTTACATGGAGAGTAATGAACCTGAAAGAGTAGTATACCCTGAAAACTGGCAAAGCAAAAATGAATGCCACAGTCTTACTCAGCTCTGTTTCATCTGTGTATTCAGAATTCTTTTAACTTAGTGATAAAAATAAGCTTGTACTGCTTTGTATTCCTGCAGACTCCAAAGAGCCAGTACTCCTCTCTATGGGAGAGTGAACTGCAGGTCCCATCAGATCTTGTGCATTATCCATAGAGTTGTTCCCCAAGGTTACATCTATGCCAACCATCTGAAGGCCTAGAGATTGTACAGGTGTCACTCAGGGCATAGGAGTGCACTGGTGTAAGTGAAGGCAAGTGGATTTGCATCACCTTCATTTCTGTAACGCTGCATGACATGGAGGAAAAAGATAAGCTTGACTCTCAGAATGCAGGCTGAGTTTTCAGGCATTTTACAATCAAATTTGATAAAGAAATCACTTAGAAAAGTTAAACACAGAAGAAAAAACCCCTCCCAATACATGTTTTTAAAGAGTGACTTTTTGGAATGGCGTTGTTAGCGCACACTGCAATAAACTCTCCTGAGAGCTGCAGGTGGA